CTAGAAATTTATGCTATAGAAGTAATTTAAAGATGTGCTGAGTTTGTATATGTTAGAAGCTTCATAAGTGCTGCTGCTTTAAATTGTAACAACACAGATAAAACCTAAATGTCAAACAATAGCAGATTGGTTAGATCAGTGGTTCTCAACTTGAGGCAGTATTGCCCACAGCAGACATTTGGCAATATCTGGAGACATTTTTGATTGTCATCACTAGGAATGGGAGCTACTGGCATCTAGTACTGATACAGAGGACAGGGAGGCTATTAAATATCCTTCAGTGCACAACACAGCCTCCCACAACAAAGAATTTTCCAGCCCAAAATGTCAATAGTGCTGAAGCTGAGACACCCTAGAATATAACGATTATGGCTATAGCTGTACAATTAATTATTTTTCAGCCATAATAATTTCAATATAGATCTGTATTTACTGACTTGGAAAGATAAATTGTTTAGTGGCAAAAAGCAGATAATAAGAGTAAAATGAATAGTAAGATCTCATTTGGATGAAGCAAACAAAAAACTATTCCTAGCAATATGTTTCTAAGGTGACCAACATATGCTGAGTGGTAAGCCACAAGCTGCAATGTTTTTTCTTTTTTAAATCTTTCTGTATTTTCTGAAAAGTTTTTCCAGCAAACATTCATTCTTTTTTAAATAGGAAAAACAATGAAAACATTTTCATCTAAAAGCAAAACAGAGAAAAAAGCCCAAAAGTGTTAGAGAGGACCAATGACTAATTCTGAATGAAAACAAGATCAAAATGTCTTAGAGTGAATTACAAAAGTGCAGAGGAGGTAAAGATCACTGGAAATGGGAAATTCAGGAATGAAAAAGCCAGAGTGTTGGATCAGTTCTGTTTAAGGGCTCTGAATTCCCTAAGATAGTAGCAGGATTTAGAATAGAGGGAAAAACGATAGTCACGGGCTAAGCACTTCAATAGATGTCAACAAGAATGAGAACAGTCGAACTAGACGTTGTGACTTTCAAACTTTTTTCTTTTGAAAGTGTCACAAGAAAATATGAACAACATAAAAGAAAAATTTTGAACTTACAAATTTTATGTACCTGGGAACAACCATTCTTACAACATATTTAGGGGCAGAGCATGTTGGCATACACCTGTAGTCCCAGCTACTCAGGAGGCTGGGGCAGGAGGATTGCTTGAGCCTAGGAGTTTGAAGTTGTAGTGAGTCATGATCACAGTACTGCACTCCAGCTTGGGTGACAGAATGAGATTCTCTCTTTAAAAAACAAAACAAAACAAAACCTCCAAAACAAACACACACACATGTAGGTATTAATCAGTGCCCTAATATTGCACATTTGTTTCTGATATTTCATTACGATACACGGCACATCTATAAACATTCTCAGAGCTAAATCTTTGAGCACCTCATTACCTTCTTAGGATCAATTCTTAGACATGCAATTGCGAGGTTAAAAAGCACATACATTTTTAAGACTTAACATAATATTTTTGTCTCTATGGGACAAAAATATTAACATCTTACCAATTTTCTACAAGCTAACATCTGAATTTACAGTTGTAAATTGTGCAAATCAATAATAAGTCAAGATTCAATTCACCTTAGATGGGCTAGTTAGGCAGTGCTCTAACATGAAAACAAATTATGCAATCATATTTTGCCTTCCAAGTTTTGGAAAATCTTTTTCTGACCAAAGGTCATCCCAATTTACAGTCCTTGCTGGTCATATGTGAAAGGACCTGTTTGGCCCCTCGTGATTACTATTATCTCTTTTAAAAAAGTGTGCCCATGTCATAGATAAAAATGAAATCTCATAATTTTAAGTTTTAGTATTAATGTGACTAAACATTTCTCTCATAGTCTTATTGAACATTTATTGTTCCTCTTTTTAAAAAAAAATCTATTAATATCTTTTGCTCATTTTTCTAGTGGTATATTTGTATTAGTCTTCCTTTTTGAGTCATGCTTTTTGATATATTCCTACTAAGTTTATTCTTAAATTATATATTAATTTATATTTTCTTCTATTTTTTATTTCCTTATCGTTTTTATCTTTTCATTTACTTTTTCTTCTTTCATCTCATTTTTTAAAATGATTTTTTTTTTTTTTTTGAGACGGAGTTTCACTCATGTTACCCAGGCTGGAGTGCAATGGCACGATCTCAGCTCACCGCAACCTCCGCCTCTTGGGTTCAGGCAATTCTCCTGCCTCAGCCTCCTGAGTAGCTGGGATTACAGGCACGTACCACCATGCCCAGCTAATTTTTTGTATTTTTAGTAGAGACGGGGTTTCACCATGTTGACCAGGATGGTCTCGATCTCTTGACCTCGTGATCCACCCGCCTCGGCCTCCCAAAGTGCTGGGATTACAGGCTTGAGCAAAATGAATTTTTAGAGCAGTTTGAGGTTTGCAGAAAATTTGGACAGAAAGTATGGAGTTCCCATATACCCTTTTCCTGCCCCACCCACAGACACAGTTTCCCCTATTATTGACATCTGGCATTAGTGTGGCATATCTGTTACAACTGATGAGCCAATAGTGTTACATTATTATCAACTAAACTCATAGTTCACAGTAGGGTTCCTATTACGTATGCTATGAGTATTTTTTGATAGAAAAACTAGCTGATTTTATTATCAATGCCAAACAAGTCTTTAAATCAACTAAAATTTATTTAATTCAGCATAAATTTACTTTCACATTTGTCTACAACCACAGCAAATACAGTTCTTGGCATAAAGACACAGCCTCTAGAATTCGGTGCCTCCCCACCTGCAAGTTACATATATAAAACTCCCATGATTGTTTATATAATGGTGGACTAATCAAATTAAAATAGTTATACTATCTAGAATAAAATAAAATGGAAATAATTTACTCATAAGATTTATATTTAAATCATCTTTATTTATAAAATACTAGCTTGGAATTATGATACCATTAAGCTTCCATTTTAGCAAAAGTATAGGCAAAGTAAATATAAGTAACAGTTATACAGTAACAGCAGTTACTTTAAATTGAAAGTGATATCAGTCAAAATCATTTTTGAAGACAGCAAAAAATATTGTGAAGTTTCTTGCTGTGGTTCTGGATGTTCAGTAGCAGGCTCATTTGAAAGTGAAATCAGCCCTGAAGGACTCGCTTCTGGAGTGGAGGTGGGAGGAAAAATCCAGGTCTTGGGGAAGGTGAGGAGGAAAACTCCTCGGTGGATACACATTTCTCACTGTTCAAAGAGATTGATAAAAGACGTTTTATAACTTTGAGAACCTGCACTGTGCCCTAATAAATCATTATGTTTATAACTTCCATTACCTATTCTTTTATTTTAAAATTGACACCAGAATAATTACTTGATCTAACAAACTAAATTTTACAACGTTGAGAAAAATATACCTCTTCAAATACAGATGATTAAAGGAAATATAATTAATTTTTAATGTAATTTTTGTCCTATCTTAACACCTCTTTTAAAAAAGAGGGATTATTTCAAAATATATAAAACTTATCATAAAAATAATGTTTTTCTTTCATTATCAAAGTCCTTCTCAAAGACCATTTTCGTGTAATATAATTTTCACCAAACTTAAAATTCATAACAGTGATTCCCAATTCTGATTTGATATTATACTAAAACATTTCCAGTTATATCAAAGACCGCCTTAAAATTCCGGCAAACAAAATTTGTTTTAATTCACTTTAAATTTTAAAAAGAGAGGCGAAACAAGGGAAGGAATGACTAGATGAGACATTCATAGGCAAAACCTAGTATTTGGTAACCACATATTTATTCTGCAGAACCCTATAGTTCAAAATGATAAAGTGAATATGAAAGAAATACATTATTCCTTTTTCTTATGTGAAGCTTTAAAAGAATTCAATAAATCCAACAATTAGTTCAAACGTAATACATACATTTTAAGTTTTAAGTAAGTAGGACTACATCAGAAATACTTATGAAAAAGACTTTTAAAAATATCGTAGGCAGTAATTTTAATGCTGGAATAAAAATATTATTTTAATTAACTGCCAGAATAGCAAGTTGCTACCAAACAAGATACAGATAATTTTAGTTTTACAAGACCTGTAAAAAGTCAACTATTTTCTTGACTACCAAAATACAGAAATAATTCTATATTATTAAGATGAATCCATTTGAAACCTCATTACACTCCACTTACAGCTGCCTGCCTTCTGAATTCAGAAAAGTAATGGTACACTCGCAGAATGCTAGAAAAGTTTTTCCTCCACTGTGTTACTACATGAACAGGTAGTAAAATTAGTATCTCTGATTAATAAGACACATGTTGAGGTTTAAAAACAAATTTTTAAAAAGCATACTTGCAACTGGAGCATGTGGTGGACCTGGGAAATCCCTTGGTGGAAAGTCATCTCCAGAAGCTCCCTTTTCCCACAGGGGTGACAGAGGCCCAGTGTCAGAAGGACCCCTGTGAGAATCGGTTAACATATCAGAGCTTGATTCTCCTCCTTCATTGGTAATCTGATGATCCAGTGGATTGCCTGGGCCTCTTGAGCCTCTTCCTTCTCTCCTTGAAAGCAAAGGTGAGACTCTGGGTGGACCCTCCAATGAAGTTGGAGGAGACAAAAAAGCTCTTGTTTCAGATGAAGGCTGACCCAATGGTGAGGGGCCATATGGGGAAGGCTGTCTGCCAAGTCGTGTATTTGGAACATCCGGTGCATATGGATCTCTTTCTAAAAGTTCAAATTTAAACTCTAGTTCAGTAAATTTTTGTCTGTTATGAGCATTTTCTTTCCTTAAATCACGGAGATGTCTTTCAGCAGTTCGAGGTGCAAACCAGTTATCATGCGCTTTTTTCTCATAGGAAGTAGTGCACTTTAGATAATAATGCATCGTTCTCTCCAATTCTTCTTCAAGAGCGTTGGCTCTCTTTCTATAGGTCTCCAGCTTTGCGGTGGCATGGCTGATCCTTTTGTCTACCTTAGAAAGTTTCTCTTCTGTTTCTAACCGGTAATTTTCCTCTGTTGTTAATTTCCTGTAGAGTTTCATTTCATTTTCTTGATATAATTCAGTCATTACTTTAAGTTTCTGTTGAAGCTTCTGATTCTCACTTTCAAAATGTGTGTTTTCTGACTGCAAAGTTCAGTCTCAAGATTTTTAATATGTTCTGCAAGTTCTTCCTTCATTTTATCAACTTCAGATAGCTGAGTGTTAGTTTGGGTTCTTTCTCCTTCTAAGCTTTTGAAAGAAGCATTGAACTTAGCAGCATGAATCAGTTTCTTCAAAGCTCCATTTGGAGGATGATCTAAGTACACACCATTTGCTGATTCACTGTTCAGTTCTAACTCCACGTTGTCTTCATCCGTTCTGTCTTCTCCTAGCATAGCTGCCCAATCGTTCATCTTCAGCAAGTGTTCAGTCAGAGTCTTGATGTTATTGTCTTTAGCATTGAGAACTTGTTCTGCGTGTACTTTGGAGTCTTCCAATGTTATTTTCTGTTTATTAAGTTCACTCACTTGTTCTTTCCAAACTTCAGCTTCTTGCAAAAGCTGTTTCTGGCTTTCCTGAAGTTGAGAATTTTCACCCAAAGCATCTTTTATTGCCAGCTTCAGTGGTTCTTCATTCATTGGAAATAAAGTCTTGAAGGTCATGTTGGCTTCAGCTACTTGTGATTTGAGGGATCTTGACTCATCTTCTAGAGACTGTATCCTTTCTGAAATATCTGCCATCTGTTCATTTTGTTCAGACTGTTTAGATTTCTCTTCTTTTAATTCTTTTACTAGACATAGTATTTCTTCCTCAAGTTCCGCATTGGACCTGCTCAGCTTTTCACAGGTTGCCTCCAAGCTTTGTGCCTCTGTTGCCTCCTTCTCAAAGCTGGCATCCTTTAAAGATGACTCCACTTCATGGCCTTCATACTCTTTCTGAATAATACTAAGTTTTTCAAGTAGTTGACATTTTTCTTTAATTTGTGTAGGCAGCATTTCAGCAAGCTTTTTCTCTCTTCCTACGTAAAGCCAACTCCTAATGGATCTAAAACCTCTCCACACAAAAAAGAGAACAGCAATAAATCCAAAAACAGCTGCCCATATCACCCATTCCCATGGAAAACCATAAGAATTAGAATCTGCTCCCATACTTTGACGCAGTGCTGCCACAACCCTGTGTAACACCTCCAGAACCAGCCTCAAGTATGGCTGAGGGGTAGCCTGGGGCTCCTCCACAGTGCCAAGGCTGCTTTGGTGGTCGCCGCAGTAACCAGGGCCTGTGGGGGCCACAACAAAGGGCATAGAACAGGCAGCCTTCTGTCTGGAACCTGAATCCACAGGGGGCCACTGGAGTGGACCAGTGCAGAGCAGGCTGTGGGGGGAGCTGGGAAATGCTGGGGAGCTGGAAGACGCGGGGAGAACAGGGGGACGCAGGCACCCACAGGCCTCACAGGCCCATGCTGCCTCTTTCTCTTTTACTTTTACTTTATTTTTAGACTGGGGTCTTGTCAATGTTGTCCAGGCTGGTCTTGAACTCCTAGCCTCCAGCGATCCTCCCACCTTTCTCAACTAATCTTGGCATCTCAAATTCCACACTTCCCCGCTAACTAGGATAATTTTGCAGTTTCAAAATCCTATTCATTCTTCTTTGACTAAGCCTTTGTCAATACCATAACTGAAAAGGTTCTTCTACATTTGATTTTCCTGACTACTTGTATAACACTGAATTACATAGTCTCACACATAAATTATGCAAAACACAATTTTGAAGGCATGTTTCTCATTGAATTATATATACTTTTGAGCTAAGACCTGTCTTACTCAACTTTATATGTCCACATTAGTAGAATGCAAGTAACAAGACACAACACTTAATATTTATGGGATTTTTTCCTTAGAAAAATGTCTCAAGTCATAGATACTTATGTTTTTAAATAAACTTTAAGATTTCCTTTTAAAGAGCCTTTAGGCAATTTAAAAAAAAGTCTGTAGCTGCTCATCTGATTCCTCATTTCAGGACTTCAATAAATAAGATAATACCAAATAAATAAATAAATAATGCCCAATAAGACCTTCAGGCCCATATTTGCTGTCAGTGGCCAAGGGTAGGAGCATACATTAAGTAGAAGGCTACAGCTGGAAAAAGTCTGACAGTCATGATATGACTTATTCTACACTTGCCACTAAGTAGCTAATTTAACACTTACATACATCATTTAACTTTTTTTTTTTTCTTTTTTTTCTAGACAGAGCCTTACTCTGTCGCCCAAGCTGGAATGCAGTGGTGCAATCCAGGCTCACTGCAACCTCCACCTTTGGAGTTCAAGCGATTCTCCTGCCTCAGCCTCCCAAGTAGCTGTGATTATGGGCATCCACCACCACACCAAGCTAATTTTTATATTTTTAGTGAAGATGGAGTTTCACCATGTTGGCCTGGTTGGTTTTGAACTCCTGACCTCTAGTGATCTGCTGCCTCAGTCTCCCAAAGTGCTGGGATTACAGTCATGGGCGACTGTGCCCAGCCCATATCATTTAGCTTCTAAAGGCTATAGCTACTTCATCTAGAAGAGGAATTTAGATTAAGTGACTTCCATATCTACCTCAGTTCTAAAAACAGAAACAAAGTATATTCTTTTATGGCCTCTGATGTCAAAAGACTTCTGTAGAGTCATGTTAGGAAAGAGTAGTAAAGGCAACATTCATCAGACTTCAGCTCTAATTCCTAACAAGGGCTCTGCTGACAATCAGGTTAGAATCACAAGTCAAGTTAGGATACAATTAACATCTCTAACAAAGTAACCCAACAAACCAAATACTTCAACTCAAGTTCCTTAGTGTGCTAAATTTAGAATAAGGGGGTGAATCACAAGAAACATTAAGTCTCAGAAAGCATACTCCGTGGTAGGGGTCTGCACCTATGGCCCATCACCCATCTATTTGTATTAATAAAGTTTGATTGAGCACAGCCATGCCCATATGTTTACTTGTTGTCTATGGATGCTCCTGCATTGCAAGAGTGGGGCTGAGTAGCTGTGACAGAAAACATGGCCCTGCAGAGCCCAAATATTTAACTATCTGGCTCTTTGCAGGAAGTTTGCCAACTCCTGTCCTACAGTACTATAAAAAATGCAATTGGGAGTGGTTTTAAAAAGTTTTGGCTGATGTTCACAAAAGAATGCCCTAGAAACTATTTCATACCATATGTTTCAAAAGCATCAGGCTGGGAGTTGGGGCTCATGCCTGTCAACCCAACACTCTGGGAGCCAGTGCAGGGGAATCACTTAAGCCCGGCAGTTTCAGACCAGCCTGGAAAACAGGCTGAGACCTCATCTCTGAAAAAAAGTAAAAAAAAATTAGCCAGGTGTGGTGGTGCACACCTGTAGTCCCAGCTAACTCTCAAGGCTGAGGAGGAAGGATTGTTTGAACCCAGGAGGTAGAGTTTGCAGTAAGCCATGATTATGCCACTGCACTCCAGCCTGGGCGACAGACTGAGAGGCGATCTCAAACATAAAAAATATTTAAAAAGCATCAGATAGGCTTGCTCTGCAAAGATCTTAGATTTTTGTAGTCAGAAATACCTAGAATTGTTTGAATTTCAATTGTGACAATTAGTTTTAGAAACAAGTTATTTAAAACCCCCAGTCTCAGCTAAAAATGGAATTTGAGGCTGCAAAGATGACAACAGATCATCATATAAACTGCATGGTGTACAGTCTAGAACACAGCCTTAGTTTCCCACAATTTATTAAATCCCAAAGAAAGAAGAGATGGGAGAGGAATGCACTTTCACAAACCAGTAAATGATGTCACCCAGTGATGACTATAACATTCTCAAATGATAGAAATTAAAATTAAGAAGAAGAAGAAGAAAAAAAAACTGGCCCTACCAAAAGTTTTCACAACTAGGGACTTAGCCTGAAAAATGAGAGATTTTTAATAGATAGGATTTTTTAAGAGCGTGGAGGAGAGTACTAACAAAAAGAGAAAAAGAAATATCGTTGTACTCCACTTTGATAACGGAGTGGTAGGAGTTATTATGAAATTATTTTAGGCAAATAGAAAGGAAAAGCGGCCCTTGGAAGGTTTTTCACAGCTCCAAAAACATTTCTTGTCTAGCATAAAAGCCCTGGGTCTTAGACCCGGGCTGGCAACCATTAAGGTTAAGATGCAAATGCAAGCCGTTATAAACTGGGTTCACCCAACTTGATGATTCCCACCGTTGTCCTCTTGCCCTCGCTCCAACATGTGCCTAACAGCATGGCCTCCCTTGCATATCCCCACGAGTGTAAAACATCAGGGCGCCCTGCATATGCATCTTAAAGGATGTTGTTTTATTGAATTCAACTCAAAACAAAATCCTGGTGTTCCTCCACTCATCAAAGCCGCATCAGTAACAAGGCAGTGTCCAGGTACAAAGCAAGAACAAGAACTCTAAATATCATTCAGCTAAAATTCTGATGTAACTTTAACAAAGGCTATACATTAAATGGGGCGCAGGGCTCAGTGGCTCAAGTCTGTAATTCCAACACTTTGGGTGGCCAAGGCAGGTAGATCACTTGAGGTGAGTTCAAGACCAGCCTGGCCAACATAGTGAAACCGCGTCTCTACTAAAAATTAAAAAAATCAGCTGGGTATGGCTGTGGGCGCCTGTAATCTCAGCTACTCGGGAGACTGAGACATGAAAATTGCTTGAACCTGGGAGGCAGAAGTTGCAGTGAGCCAAGATTGCATCACTGCACTCCAGCCAGGGCAATAGAATGAGTCTCAATCTCAATAAATAAATAAAAGAGTGAGACTAAATCTCAATAAATAAATAAACAGATGAAGGATAGATATAATAATTATCTTTTTAACCAAACTTATAGTTTGTGTACTCAAGTTTTAATTGGATCTAATTTTCAGATCACACATATTTGCTCTCAAGAACCTGTGTTTTTCATTGGATTTATTAAATGTTTTCATTTTTATCATGAATGATCTACTTCCCATTAAGGCAAGAACCGTATCTACGTTGACCACCACTGTCTCTCCAGTGCCATCTCAATTGTATGGAATCTGGCAGAAACATAAATATCCACAAATGAAGAACCTGCTCTCAGACTGAGCAGGGGCTCATCCTGCCATCTAGCGGTCCACATGAGTAACAGCTCCGTTAAACACAGTACTAACTCTAGAGGGCAGATATGCTTCATACAGTCACTACTTTGGAAGAGAAAAATATAAATATAATACAGGAAGTAACAAGAATAGGTAAAAGGTAAAAGACTAGGATTACTATCACAATTGGTTCCATCTCCCACATCTTCTAGAGAACTATGCAGTGATCACTGATATCCTGAATAATGACCATGAGACACTGTCACATTAGCAAAAAATGTATCCAATGTTTTGGCTTCTCTGGGCAGGGACATTCGGGTTTGCTGAAGTTGTACCCACAACCACCCCTTTTCCCAAGTGCTCTGTCCCAGGAAGGTGGGGGCTTTATTTTTAAGTCCCTGTTGGGCTGCTGCCTGTTATCGGACATGCCCTGCCCAGCGAGGACATCTAGTGAGGCAGTCTGCCTGCAGTTGTCTTCCAGTCCAACTTCCCAGCAGTTCTGTTTACACTGTAAGGTTGGAACTTCTCAGCACTTTGTTTACACTGTGAAGTTGAAACCGCCTACTTCAACCTCAGCAATGGCGGACGCCCCTGCCCCCTGCGAGCTCCAACGTCCCAGGTCCAGCTTAGGCTGCTGTCCTGGCTGGGAGAACTTCAAGCCAGTGGATTTTAGCTTGCTGGTCTCTGTGGGGGTGGGACCCCTGAGGCAGACCACTTGGCTCCCTGGCTTCAGCCCCCTTTCCAGGGGAGTTAACAGTTCTATCTCGCTGGTGTTCCAGGCGCCGTTCAGTTGGAAATGTGGCAATCACCCACTTTCTGCGTAGATCTCACTGGGAGCTGCACACTGGAGCTGTTTCTATTCGGCCATCTTGCCGCCCACCTTCTTAGAGTTTTTATTTAGGTGTAGCAAGCTTTTAAGAGCATATGTTCCATGTTACATGAATTTGCATGAAGGCGGAATTAGCAAAATGTTTTCAAATTCTAAACTCTTCAAATTTCCTCAAAAATTAAAAGAAATTATTTTGTGTAACATGAAAAGAAATTTTTAGTTAAAACATTCATTTTAGAATACTGT